ATATATATATATATATATATATATATATGCATGCATGCATTTGTGCATGCATTTCCAGATCTGGTGGCAAAGACACTAAGGGGTTTGTGGTTCACTTTGGCCATGAATCGTGGAACATGGTAATTAACATAATGGTCGGCATCCGACTGGCTGGCGCACGAGCCATGAGCGAGCCTCACAGAGCTGTCGAGCCGTACGATTTCCTGATGAAGGAGAAGTTCTCGGTGCTGCCTAAGACCGGCATGGTGGATAAGAAGCGGCGAAAACCTTCCTTGGTGAGTGTAGCATAGGTTCAAGCCTTGAATCCTATACCCGCACGCAGTTGTAACCGTGTGAAACTACTCATTCGTTCAAACATCTTAGAAAAGTTGATAGCTATCACCAAACATTTGTAAACGGCGCGGTGGGTTTTGTTTGGTTGCCTTTTGTTCGTATGCAGTGCGCAGTCCGGTTCATTGACTATGCCCCGATGGTGTTTCGTCGCCTCCGCGCTCTTTTCGGGATCGACTCCCTCTGCTATATCAGATCTGTCGGCCCAGACCAGTTGCTTGGCAATTTGATTCTAGGTTGGTATAGCCCCGCGGGGTATTAACTGCAAGGAAAAACACCATTTGGGTGATTGGTGAACATGTGAAATTCGCATCAGTTTGGAAGGGGCTTTTGCTGACCTTCTGCTGTTTCTCTTAGGGAATTTATCCTCTCTTTCTGAACTGGTTTCGGAGGGCAAGAGTGGCTCTCTATTTTACTACACAACCGATGGGAGATTTATGATCAAGACAGTAAGGATAAAACTTTTTGGTTGCTTACCGTTACGGCATGTTCAATGCGCACTAAGCAGCACTAGCTGTATGCCTAGAAGGGGCGATTAACAATGTGGCACTTGACATGATGAGGGACATCGATTCTTCAGGTGTCAAAGGAGACGGCTTTCTTCATGCGATCCATCTTGTTTGACTACTACAAGCATGTGTCGACGTGCACTAACACAATGCTCACACGTCTTTGCGGACTTCATGCGCTTCGCCTCAAGGACAAATCCGGGAAGATCCTAGGCCACAAGCGTGAGTCCTCAGTCATGTTTAGGGAATGCTATGATTGTACATTGTATTAGAGAATAGAACGAGAGCTGCTGCGGTGAAGGATGAATGCTTGCAGAGCCGTGGAGGCGCAAGACATACTTCATGGTCATGGAGAACTTCTTTCACACGCCAGTAGAGATTCACCGTCGTTATGATCTCAAGGGGTCTACGCAAGGCCGCTCACTGCCTCCTGATCTCCTTAGGTGGGCTTACTGTTTTCTGCCACAGCTGCCAGTTGTAGTTGTAACCGAAACAGCAAAATCTGCGCGAATTCTCAACCCATCACGGGCACAAGGCAGTCTTGGGCTCTGCGGTTTTGCTGTGATATACTGTGCTCCCAGCGATCCCACAGTGGCGAGGAAGGACAATGACATGACACGAGACGGAGAAATGGCACGTCGAAGATTCGTTGTTACAAACAAGATTACATGTTGATGGAGCACAGCACCGCTGCGTGCAACACGAACTCACGTGCATTTGCAAACTCAGATGGTGTGGGTGACTGTGCACGTTCTGGGTGTTGAGTGTTTGTTGTTTGTGAGTGTGTTTAGATAGAAATTGGGGAAGAGCGAAAGCAAATGTTTATCGAACAGCTAAGAATTGACGCGGCCTTCCTCAGGGACCATGGGATTATGGACTATTCCTTGCTGCTGGGAATTTCGTACGCCAGTTGTTCACAAGGTGAGCCTACAGCAGCAAGGACATTACTTTGTTGCTTCCTGGCGTTGTGTCCCATCTAACGTTTCTTACAAAATACATTCCATGTGCGCATCGCCGCTCTGCACAACGGGGTCGATCTGGGCCTCGCCAGTAAATCATGCCAGACTCCTCTGAAGTGGAAGTTGTGGTTCGTTTATCTAGATGTCGGACTTTAAAGAAAAACTCATGCACACAAATGTGTACATGCATGGGAAGTTTTGGCGCTAGGTTTGCGGGTTTCTTGTGTTCAGACTCCAGCATCTGCCAGGACGGCATATTACATATCGACGATGAGGTCCGCGCTTCGCATTCGATGTGAGTTATCGGAATCGGTGCCTGGGAGATGTTTACCGAGAACTACAGCGTTTGTTGTCTCAGCTAGTTTTATACTGAATTAGCCATCATTCGCCCTCACAAGCTCGGATGTGTGGGATCAGACTGCTGTTAATCCCACATCTTCGTTGCCGTAGTTGAGCTGACTTTCCCTCCAACCACTCACGTGTGGTCGACGTTCATTTCTTAGCTCATAAACTTTGTCATTTTCCTATTCTTCTTTTCAGGGTGCCTAGCTCTGTTTCTTCCGTTGGTGGAATTGGCGAGTGTGGTAAGTCAAGCAGTGTTGCAACGGTTGGCTGGAGCAGGTTCAAGGAAAGGATCATTGTGTGGTTGCATGGAACGTTTTCGCCATTACTGTCTCTTGTTGCGCCTTTTTTACCTCTGTGTGTACAGATGTTGAACGCCCTTTTTGGAGCAGGGACCTCGGCGGGATGCAGAGCACTGACCGCACCAAGTTGTATTATGTCGGGATCATCGACATCCTGACTCACTGGACTGCTAAAAAGAAAATTGAGCACGTTGCACGTGTTCTGCAGTGAGTCGCTATTTTCCTTTGCCTTGTACTTTCCAGTTTTGAGGTGTGAGATATTCGGACAAGTTGTCTTGCTGAGGATTTCTGCAGACTGCCAGACTGCAGTACCTGGAACTTGCCAGTTTGAATTGCTGTGCGGTGCAGGACAGGAAGCACATCAGGAGCTTCCTGTGTCAACCCTTCCCTTTATGCCCGTAAGCGTTCGTCTCACGCCCTTTTCATAGTGACATGTGTAGGTGCTCTGATTGTACGATGGATAAATAAGAAGCATGCTGCAGGGGAGCTCGTGCTGCTGACGTTGTGTGCCGCAGAGCGTTTTGTTGACTTCATCACCAACCATACTACTTGATTTGATTAGGTTTTTGTTTATCCGATGTTTCTTTGATAACACTCGAAGGCCGTGTTCAGTTCGTGAAACAGCCTTTTTAATGGAAACAGGAGAGCGCCATGATCTTGATTCTGTCCTAGTAGCCATGACTGAGTCTGGCGATTCCATATCAGTGTTCTTGCCAAATAAGATTGTTTGGTTTTAGACTTGAAGTTTTGACCGGGAAACAATCGCGACCATTCGCAGCAGACAGCGCTTTGCGCGCGTAGTACTTACATGTTCAAACTAACAACAATTCCCGCGGCACTGCGAGACCTAGCCAGCCGGATGTGGCTGCTGAAGTTCTAGTTGTTTAACCAACTTTACCAGTCTCCTTATAATATAGAGGTTACGCAGCAAATAGTACAACTAATATATATTGTTCGCTTATCAGTGCACTAACATCCTCCGCGCCAACGCAAGCAACTCAAGTTGCGTGCACTCTGAGCTCAGCAAAGACCAAATCCCTGCACTCCGGGAGGTCTAGCAACGCCAACAGCCAAGAACGTGCTTTCTTCAATCTGCACGGTCACCCTCCCAGGAATCTGCTTGTAGCACAAACATATATATCCAGACACTCTGGCACTTTAGGTGGCAGTCGGTGGCATCTGGCGAGTTTGGAAAGAGGATGGGGGACCGTAAAATGCGTTAGGAAAGGGCGCGCACGGAATTGAACCATGAACCTGCCGATCTGCAG